GGACTTAAGGGTCCCCGTCTATATATTCAGAGATATGCAACACACGTGACATTTCATAGCAGCAGTCTGCTGAAATATACGTTTCATTTCCGTTAAAAACTTAATTATGTCTGAATTGCCAATTGACAATTCTTTGGGACTTATTTGAAAGGTTTTCATTTAACTTTTTCATGAAATTGACAAACATAAATTATATATTACCAAAACACAGACAAAAATGTCGTCATATCTGTATAAGTATGATGCACAGAAGTCAAAGTTCTGGTTTGAAGTAAGTGCTTCGAGTCAGGCATAGCTACTTCCCTGGAATGTTCGCGTGGGTATGTATTACTATAGGCCCGTGTTTGTTGAGTCATCTTCCATAGGTTGGCGTGCTTCAACCCAGTGAACTCCTGATAGCTGGGTTTGATTCTGACACACCTTAGCTTTAAAAAGGACAATACTGAGTATTGTGCCATTATCATTTCCGCTTAACCGTAGGGCTCAGAAATGAAAGAACATTAATGAACGGTTGCATGTTGTTTTCGGAGAAGCTGCCCAATTATTTGTGAGGACATGTATAATTGTTTATTTTATGCTTAACATCGCACTAAGCAAGCCGAATCTGGACCAGGCAATCCAGTGACCAACGGCATGAGCATCGATCTACACAATTGGGACACGATGACATGTGTCAACCAAGTCAGCGAACCTGACCACCCGATCCCGTTAGTTGCCACTTACGACAAGCATGGGTTGGTGAAGATCAATTCTAATCCGGATCTTCGCGAGGCGAGGACGTTCCGAGTAGGAGGGAGGGTTTGAGTGATAACCCAAGTCCTGGTCCATCCACCATGGTACCACAATAATAGAATAACCTAGAACTGAACTGTTTGCCCGTCACGTCGAAGGCCTTTGGTTGATTCCTCACCTGCTCAATTGTTATATATCACTGGAAACTCATGCATGTTGACAAAGTGACAAAATATCCCTGTTTACCCATGATTCACTCTTGTGGAAAGCCACAGTTCGGATTAACGAGTTTTCACTGTACACTAATACCGATAATGACCGGCAAAGAGATTGTCAATGTGTTCAACGCTAAAGTGTTACTGGAACGGAGAACAACTTAGAGCAGGCTCGTGACGTACAGTATAGGTTAAAGCCTGTGCACAACATGTAACCTCTTTCAACGACTTCAGAGATGTGGGGTGCTCAGATCTCAGCTGTTGAAGAGCTTAAGTCCGGTTTTAGGGTTATAAAGGCAATGCATCGTTTGATTCCGTCGGGAATTATTTACTGTCGACAGAAAGCGGGAACAAATATTCTCTAAGCCACAGTTGAGGTTGTGCGTGTTTGTCGGGAACGTCATCGTTTTGAGGTACACGATTGGATGGTATGGTTACTGCATAACGTTTTCAGGTGTTCAAGAAACAGCATATTGGGGCAATTCACCATCTGAAAATATGGTTTATCAGAAACGTTTTAAGTTTATATAGTTGGGAAGAGTATTATTTTATAAAGGCATGTTGGTCAAAAGATGTCGAAATCTAGACTAACAAATGAACTGAAATATTTTACAGAAAAACAGTTCATAATAAAAAAAAAACATGAATAGGAGCCCTGAGACTTTCTTCATTTTCAGACCCGTGAAGGTCCGGGGTTAGAATATAGGCCTTCAGTAACCCATGCTTCTCGTAAGAGGCCACTAACGGGATCGGGTGGTCAGGCTCGCTGATTTGGTTGACACATGTCATCGGTCCCCATTGCGCAGATCGATGCTCATGCTGTTGATCACTGGATTGTCTGGTCCAGACTCGATTATTTACAGACCGCCGCCATATAGCTGGAATATTGCTGAGTGCGGCGTAAAACTAAACTCACTCACTCACTCTTCATTTTCAGAACCTGTGGAAATCTAGACTTGCCACATAATCTAGACTTGCATGTGCGTTCTTGGATATGTTTCGTTTCAGGGACAGACTAGGAGTAATCCTACTACTTCTGAATGTTGTAAGGTGTGATTGAATTGAGTTGGTGAGTGTAAAAAAAGGTGTTGGTGTAAAAAGTTTATATTCATAAGTCAAAGCTATCTTCTTGGATGCTACAGCTTGTAAAATGCTTCTCTCATGTACTGTTTTAATCTTTAAACAGCAATATTCAGTGCATCTGTACTTAGCGTAATTGGGACAGGTACAAGTCACGTTATTCGATTAAACGCGTTGTAAAAAACGACAAAAATTGAAATAAATATGAAATAGTTATTCGATGGTGATGAATTTTATAAGGGTATCCCAGTTGTGGTTTGGACCTTATGGGTGTGCGTGCGTGCTAGCGTGTGTGTGTGCGTGTGTGTGTGTCCCCATTAAGACTCCAGGTAAGATCAGAGGGCAACGATGTGTTCAGATTGTGTCCACAATGAGAGACGACCGTCGCTAGCTGTGACACAAGGCTGGCCACCTGTCTTGACATATGTCAAGGATCGCAGCTCCGACCATCGGCCAGCGAGTTTGAGGTGTCAAGCTGACCACGAAAGTATTCACGCCCTCGCTTGAGAAACCGGAGCAAACTGTGCAAATATTAGCCCATGAAATAGTTACTAATGCGTCACTGTGTGTATAACGTACAACGTCACCTGAACGGGCGGGTGGAGAAACGGGTGGCCCAGGCGTAACAGGCCAAGTAACGGTACTGTAACAATTCCTATTTGTGGGTTTGAATCCCAGAGTCGTCCTATCGTTAGCGTTGGTCTCCGATAACTCCTGGTCTTGCGTTTCACAAAATTGGTTTATCATTAGACTAACAACTAGTCTCTGAAATGAAATTATTTTACAGAAAAAAACAGTTCATCGTAAAAAAAATAAAATGTAATGAAAACGAGCCCTGAGACTTTCTTCTGTGGAAATCTAGACTTGCCACATATTATAGAATTGCATGGGCTTTCCTGGATATATTGTTTAAGGGTCTGTGTGACAGACTAGTTAATCATCTACGTCCAGACGGAGAGAGAGAGAGAGAGGGGGAGAGAGAGAGAGAGGGAGTTGAGGTTGACACAGACAGGGAAAAACACACACACAGAGGGGGAGAAAGATTTTCTAAAACAGTGAGTATGGTTTCTTCATTCAGTACGAGGCTGGCCTGCTTTAATTGCTTGTCCTTATGGGTTTTCGGGTATGTACGTTGTATGTCTTCCAGATTTAACCAATGTTTTATTAATGGCTGTCAGTATATTGAAGATCGCTTCTATAGCCATATTTCAGTTTGTCTTTGGGAGAACCGTTATAAGGGTATTCAAGACTGCTAGCATGAATGTTTCTGGTAGCAATTACCAAGTTCATGAATTTCAGATTTCTACAGTATATTAATATTACACCATGGCAAGTCGCCCAGGACGCACACAGCCTTGCAGACTATGGTGCCTCATACGTGCAAAAACTGCATGATCGTGGGTTCGAATCTCTTGATTTTGTTTCTTAGGCTTATCAGCACCAAGGCGATGGTCATGGGTAAATATCTTGAAAGGGTTGCTTCGGGATACCCTCCCATGTGAAGCTGAGACGCGATGGTATAAATGAAATTAGGACCAAAGCGGCGACATACAACATCAACCTAAATACCACTACTCAAAAGCAGTAGTGTTTGTTTTTTTAAGCTAGGTATAGCGTATAATAACTATGTTACGAGGTGGTATCCAAATTGAAATGCAAAGGTTAATCCAGAAACCGGTTGGAACAGAACTAAACTGTGTAATCAGTAGATGGTCAAAAAGTATCAATGAATATGGAGAAGTTTTTAACCACACACAGTTTAGGTATACAGTAACAATGAGCATACAATGGATCAGATACGTGTCAGGGGCAACATGTAACAAGACTTGAATTCATACGTTAGTGCACGAGTGTTCGGAATAATGAGCCTGACGAATGTTTGAAAACAGACCTGTCTCTGTTCTTGAGTCGAGAATAGTTTTGGAAGCTTGCATGAATTCAGTGTTTACAAATGGGTGTCTTGCCCGCACATGACAAGAAGGTACAAAACAAGTCATGCTGAAAACCCACTTGTATTTCAGCGAGAACAAAACGGAGGAACGAGTGGGCAAATGTCGTTTAAGGTCATATACAGCAAAATTCTACTGTATACAGGCGGCCTGTAAATAATCGCGTTTGGACCAGACAATCCAGTGACGTATGAACAATCTACGAGCCATCCCATCATGGACGGTGAGTTAGCGTAATGGTTAAGGCGTTAACTCGTCACGCCGAAAACACGGGTTCATTTCCCCGTGGGTACAATGTGTGAAACCCGTAGCTGGTGTTCCCCAACTTGATATTGCTGAAATATGGCTGAGAGCGACATAAAATAATACTCACTCGCATCATGCCATATAAGTCACCTAGCGAAATCTTTGATGGCCTAATGGATAAAGCGTTTTCCCGTAACTCCAAAGACTCGGGTTTAATTCCCTACATGGGCACAACCTATAACTACCCCGCAGTGATAAGGGTGGAATGTTGCTATAAGCGGCGTAAAACAATGCTCATTCACTAAGCCGCACTCCCTTTAAACGCGATTAACTAATATACCACGTGTAGTTCATTTCACACCAAACCAAAATATGTACATTGTGAAGCGGGAAAATATGCTTGTGTTAAATATGTTATTTCTAATTTCGAGAACGGTAAGCATTAAAATTTTCAAATAAATATTATTTTGAATTTTCGAAAACGTCCACTTGGTTAGGAGTTGACTGTACACAGCTTCATGTGCGACAGTTCTCGCCACCAGTGTTGTGACGATTCTCAGCCAGCAAAGCTGTCAATAGCGGCTGTTCTAGCTTCTAGCTTTACCCATAAAACTTTATCTTTTCAAGTTCAGTCGCTGATTTTACCGATATCAAAATAATTAACTTGGCAGTTTACACGTACAGAAAAGACGGGCGACGAATACGAGAGAGTATAGTTAATTATAGAACAGTGAGTCACCCCCGATAGCTGAATGCAATTTACGGGGGAGGAGAACGGAAGAGCGAGGTCAATATTACGATACCCTGTGTATAGCAGCTATAGCTGTCTCAGTGCTGACCACTGTCGGATATTACGGTGGTATAAGACGATTATTTTGGAATATACTACTTCCGTGTGATATTGTGTATTAAGGTAAGCATGATGTGTGCATATGATATAATTTGAGCGCTTTTCTCACCCGGTCAGACGCAAGAATCGCGAAGAAATGAATGCGAGTGTTTCTAGCTCAGGAGTGACTTCAAACAAGCCGGGCGATCAAAGTGCAATCACAAATTACCGTGCATGCTTTGTAATTCTCTTTGTTTTGAACGCGTTTGCAGAGGCCGTTAATTTTAATTTTCTCCTACATTCGTGGTGTTTAGTTGAAGATTTACGGTTAAATGTCGAAAAATCGGAACGATGGTGAACATTTATGACAAAAATGGCTGCCCGTCTAGCGAGGCTCAATCGAGGGTGAATAGCCTCCCCAGTGCCAGTGTTTCTCCTCTATGGTTTATTCATGGTTCCGTTTCACATAGGGGTAAATACTTTCCCCCAAGGATGCGAGAAACAAAGCTGTCGATGCACACAAGGTCAACGTCAGTGTAGCTGGAATATGTTAACCTATTTTCTCTTTCTATCACAAAACTAAGTGAAATCATACACTTGGATATGGAGGGGGGCTTTCCCTAAGAGTAACACAACTATGCACTATCGATTAATATTTTCGTCTTATGACAGCTGATAGTTGAATGAAATTAGCTCATAAACTAGACAATTAAGATTTAATTTTCAATGTGTCCTACAAAGGAAAAACTAATTACACAATGGCTTTGCCTTAATTTACTAGTATCAATTACGTGAGACAAAGCTTTAGCTAACTGGCACACCTATCTAGATTAACTCAATTTTTATAATGATCAATGATTTCGGTTAATAAGTATTCTAATTACACAGAGGCAACGGGTCAGTTTCACGTATCTCACTAATTGCAACATCTAAATCTAGACTGGAAGGGTCTCGAGACAGTAGGGCATACTCTGCAGTAAGTTGGGGATCTATATTCACAGTGTTATCTGCTTAATAAAATACTCAGCTATGTGGGTCAGAACATTCTGATAAGCAGGCATTTTATGTAGGTTAATATAACTGTTCATAATTCACCCTATTCACATCCGTGACACACACTGATTTAGGTAGTGTCCTTACCATCCATACACGATGTACTGGGAATTTTTAGATATTATATAAAACAGGTTTGTCTTGTTTGGAGTTGAGCTGAAATAAACATATTTTCATAATTATTATGTCATGACTTTCAAAACTGTTGCTAATTCACATGAAAGATATGAGGACTACACTTTTAAATAGTGTTTAATTAGCAGAAGAAACTATTTTGTGCCTTAAATCAGTATTTTTGTAATTGATCTATAAATGCAGAATATTAGAGAAGTTTACAGTGCAAAAGAAATTAAAAACAATAATCTTGACAATAGTTGGCCATGGTGAATGAGAGGTTTTGTATTTGTGGAAAAGTACTGAATCTAAATGTAGGGATTCTCCGAAATCATAAACTATGTCACTTTAAGCTTTGCTTGCACAAGAAGCATCATCAAGAAAGCTCATTCAGAAGCCGTTGAGTGTCATCAAGTCAATAACATGGTGGCGTTAAATACAGTCTTAACTCACGCTGGAGCTACAAGTCCATTAAGTAAACATTATGAGACAACATTGCACAATATGACCCAGTAATCTTGTAGAACATTATGGCATAAGTTTCTATAACACTCTCAGAGCTATGCCTAAACAGGGCCTTCCTGCATCACTTTTTTTGTAGCTGTTGGATACAGCGATTTCACCACCTCAATGTAAATATACTGCACCCGTCATAATATTTACATCGTTATTGGGGCTGCATCGTCTTTAGAATAATTTCCTTCTGTCTCTCCTGTTTTTACCCACTAATAACATGTAAATATATATGTAGAAGGAAGAATTTTTTAAAATTTTGTTTCCAGACATTATGCAATATGGCTGGAGGTATTTCAGGGGCCAGTCATTTAGTATAGGTTTTGGGGTGTTCAGAGATTTTTTATGCACATATCTACTGCTTTTTATATTTTTGGATGACCCTTCCCATATTCTAGTTCATATTTTTTATGACACTCCCCAACAGACTGCCATATTTTGGGTGACCCTGTCTGGATTATTTACCCGAACACCCACACACCCCACCCACACCACCCTATAATAAATAACCAGTCCCAAAGTACAATGGTCTGTGCAATGACGCTTCATTTATTTATTCCCAGAGTTGGCAAAGAATGCAAGTTTCTTCATTTTGTGTTAACTGTATGTGAAACTTTTCAGACCCACCACAGCTTATCTGAGAACTGCCTGTGTACAACAGCACATTCTTCGGTGTTGTGTCTTGCCTAAACGCCAGTATCTTCTCATGCCTCACAAAATGGATTGCTTCCCTGCTTTGTTGTGAACACAGAAGCTTCCTCTATAAATGACTGTATCCAGGCCTGGTACACTCATCCAGTTTGCTGAAGAGAATGGCTATCTCATCAGATTCTGGAACTCCAGTGAGGCTGTCGGCTTCTGTTTTTTTAGTGAGATAGGGCACCATCTGCCCTTTGTGAAGTAGCATTTTATGAATTTAAGTTCATCTGATTCAATGCACAGATGTTATCTAGGTTTTAAACTTGACCTATCCAAAATGTCATGACCTGTGGCATTACAGGTTAATAACAGTCATATGAAAAGAGTGACATGTATCTTCAACTTCTTTTAAATAAAGGGTCGCTAAAATGTTGTGTGTTTCTCATCACAGACAAACCCTAAACATCATAGAGACTGTTTTCTGCTTCAGTGTTTTGGAAAGTCATGTCTGAGTGTTAGGATATTAGTGAGCAATAAACTGTTGGTACAGACCAGCATACCCACTTTTGTAACCATGTCAACTATTTGAAGTTAAAGATGATAATGTTTTACATGACCTGGAACTAGAACTACAATCAGATTCAAAATACCTCTAGATGCCAGTAAAGCTAATTACTAACCTGAGCATATCAAACACATGTAGCAATATATGAGCATGACTAACTAGCAATCAGCTGAATCTGGATTCAGTTAACATCTTTTTAGTACGCACCGGAGTTCACAAGGATTTAATCAACACCTTTCTAGTACACACCGGAGTTCACAGGGATTTAATTAACACCTTTCTAGTACACATTGGTGTTCATAGTGATTAAATTACTGCCTTTCTAGTACTCACTGGAGTTTACAGGGATTCATTGAACACCTTTCTAGTACACACTGGAGTTCACAGGGATTCAATTAACACCTTTCTAGTACACACTGGAGTTCACAGGGATTCAATTAACACCTTTCTAGTACACACTGGAGTTCACAGGGATTCAATTAACACCTTTCTAGTACACACTGGAGTTCACAGGGATTCAATTAACACCTTGCTAGTACACACTGAAGTTTATAGTTGATGTTTTAATTGTCCTTTCTTTAGGCTGAAACAAATAGTTATTTAATCTTACTAAATTCACTGTAACTAGTTGTATTGGGTACTTAGAAAGGTGATAAAAGGGGCACACTGATTGATACCAGACACGATAGATCTGATATTACACACTGAGTAGTACTGAGTGTTTTCAGTCTTTTAAGGGACCATTTACAAAGCTACTTGCAGATCGATCAAGCGGCATGCTTATTGGATCAGTGCACTTAGTATGGCAAATACGGTAATTGTGAAGTTTTCAAAGTGGAAAGGTTTCTGTATCAGTGTTGAGACCCTGATTTGTTTAACGAGCTGGCGAGCGAAAATCCACTGCAAGCCCTGAATGGGATTCTGACCTGTCCAAACACCAGTGTTTCAGTTACCAAGCCCTGACCAGGTAAACAGCTGTTGGTCTGTATTCGTTATTGTACCATATTTCCTCTATTAAACCAGAGCTGTAATACATGCTGATTTCTAATAGACACAGGGCCATTCACTCAATCAGGAAAATAGAGGCTAGGCCTCCATTAAAGGCCCACTCTCTATTACTGTGCTATGTTGGCATTAAACAGAATACACACTAAAAGATGCCTTGTAAGATCTGTATAAAATGCATAAGGAATTTAGGCTACTTAGATTGGTCATGTTTGGGAAGTGTCATAGAGTTTGAATCAAGATCAGGGAAGTTGGGTCAAGTACTGAGAACAAACACAGCCCAATGAGCTATCTATCATCCATCTCCACTGGTCCAGCCAAGATCTGTGTAGTCTTTTGACTGTCAGGCTTGTCGATCTGTGTTCGGCCTGTTGATCTGTGTCAGACTTGTTGATCTGTGTCGGGCCTGTTGATCTGTGTCAGGCTTGTTGGTCTGTGTCGGGCTTGTTGGTCTGTGTCGGGCTTGTTCATCCACGTCAGGCTTGTTGATTTGTGTCAGGCTTGTTGATTTGTGTCAGGCTTGTCGATCTGTTGGGCCTGTTGATCTGCATCAGTCTTGTTTATCTGCGTCAGGCTTGTTGATCTGTGTCAGGCTTGTTGATCCACGTCAGGCTTGTTGATCTGTGTCTGGCCTGTCGATATTTGTCGGGCTTGTTGATCTGTGTCAGGCCTGTCGATCCTTGTTGGGCCTGTTGATCTGTGTCAGGCTTGTTGATCTGTGTCAGGCTTGTTGATCTGTGTTGGGCCTGTTGATATGCGTCAGGCTTGTTGATCTGTGTCAGTCCTGTTGATCTGTGTCGGTCCTGTTGATCTGTTTCAAGCTTGTTGATCTGCGTCAGGCTTGTTGATCCACGTCAGGCTTGTTGATCTGTTTCAAGATGGTTGATATGTGTCAGGCTTGTTGATCTATGTCAGGCTTGTTGATCTGTGTCCGGCCTGTTGATCTGTTTCAAGCTTGTTGATCTGCGTCAGGCTTGTTGATCCACGTCAGGCTTGTTGATCTGTTTTAAGCTTGTTGATCTGTGTCCGGCCTGTTGATCTGCGTCAAGCTTGTTGATCCACGTCAGGCTTGTTGATCTGTTTCAAGCTTGTTGATATGTGTCAGGCTTGTTGATCTGTTTTAAGCTTGTTGATCTGTGTCAGGCTTGTTGATCTGTGTCAGGCTTGTTGATCCACGTCAGGCTTGCTGATCCAC